TTCTTCAGTTTGGAGCCCACCCACCTTTCCATTGAACTTCCAGAATCAAGTTACAAAGAGCAGAGGAGAGGAAGTCTATCACTACAAGGCTTTAAAGAACGCTGGACTAACCCTGCGACAATGGTCCTCTTCTACGCCTATTTCACTGCTGAATGTAGGGACCATCTCCCTGCCTTCAGTCCAGTACATCCCTCGCCTTCTGTCTGACACGACACACGTTTTACTTTGTCCTGGCTCCTGCTGCCTAGGCCTTGCAAGAGAGGTGACATTGACAGGTGTGCTGAATGGAGATAGTTTCTGCTCCCATTCCGAAATACAGGAAGCTACAGAAATGCTGCTGCAAGAGTTAGAGCGTCTGTGGAGCTGTGGCTGGCTCATGAGCTGCTGCTGGCCGTTGGAAAGCTGAGCAATATTGTTACTAGAAAGCTAGAAAAATTGGAGAAAGATTAATGAATAAGACTGAAAACCTGGGCTGGAGAGATGGTTCAGTGGTTAAGAGCACTGACTGCATTTCCAGAGGTCCTGAGTTCAAATCCTAGCAACCACATGGTGGCTCACAACCATCTGTAATGAGATCTGATGCCCTCTTCTGGTGTGTCTGAAGACAGCTACAGTGTATTCATATATAATAAATAAATAAATCTTAAAAAAAAAAGACTGAAAACCTGAGAAACAATATTACTTTTCTACAATTTTACTACATGATGATTCAACAGTGTAAGAAACTGCAGTCATTAATTTTTTTGTGATATGCTTTTTTTTTTTGTTTTTGAGACAGGGTCTCTGTATGTAGCCCTGGTTAGTTTGGAATCCTGTGTAAACCAGGCTGGCCTTAAACTCACAGAGGTCTGCAAGCCTTGGCCTCCCAAATGATGGGATTTAAGGCATGTGCCAACATGACAGGCCCATTTATACTAAGTTTTAAAAGTAGAAGCTTAAAAAATATAACATGAAACAAAACAATTCTCATGGAGAAACATCCCTTAAATTGGAACAAATTTTCTCTAGCACCGACCTAGACATAGCTGCAAACACTTACAGGCATAGGAGAAGGAGAGACAGATCTCTGAATGATTTTCTCCTGGTCCCGCTCCCGGGAGGGTCTCTCTGGCTTCTCAGGTTTGGGTTCAGTCACAATGGCCTTCAGCTGTTTGAGCTTTTCATCTTTGACCCAGAGTTTATTCTGCATCTCTAGCTGGGTGGCTGCTACCCGACGTTCCTACAGAGAGCAATGACAAATTACACTCTACTTTAGTCACACTGTATCACCCACTTTATTGTTTAAAATGACAGTTCCCTACTTCCAGAGATCAGCAGATACCAAAGCCCTGCAACAAGCACAGAAATGGAAAAATATTTAACCTAAAAAACAACACTCACACATTCCTTCTGCCACTTCATCGACATTTCTGTCACCATGCCTTGCAACCTGGCTTCTAATCTGCGCTTGTCAGAAACCTGCCGCTGAAGCTTCTGATTCTGGCTTTCAAGTTCCTGCTGCAGATTGCGCTTATCTTCTTCATAGATTGTAGTTGTTTTCTCCAAAATCTCAATCTGCAAAGGAGGCCACAGTGCTCAGCATCTGGTGTGCAAACATTTCACCTAACTGTAGAATAAACACCCCTTAATTGCTCACAAAACTTGTGGACACACACACACCAGAATATGCATGCACAAACACGCAAAACCATGTTTGCCCCCTATCTCACCTGAATTCTCAGTTCTATTCCAACCCAGAAGTTATTCAACAAGCCTCTCTTCAAGGTAAACTCCATTTCTAAGATTAAAAGACCACAGTCTCTTCCTCCCTTGCAGGCCCCTCCCAGCAGTGACAGGCACATGAGCTGTTCTGGGAACACTGCTGAACGGCTACCACACAGGAGGAAATATGACCACAAACCTTGTACTCCAAAGTTTTGTTTTTCTTTTCCAGTTGTTCTATTTCCGATTTCTGTCCCGAGATCAATTTTTCTTTTTCATTTAGTTTTTCCTGAATGTAGTTTTCTTTATTTGATAGAGAACTGTCAAATGTTTTTAGTAAGGCTTTGAAAGCTACACCTGTAACAGAGCATTCAGACTCTATTGTTACTGAGGATACAAGATAAAACCAACAAAAGCAGCTTTCATTTGCAGACACTTCAGCAAACCCCTCTGTGGCATTTGGACACAAGAGAAGGCTGGGAATGCAACTGCCTGCACGTGTCTGCTTTGTATATGCATGAGGCCCTGGGTTCAATACCAAAAAATGAAAAAGAAAACAAGTTTGGAAAGAAATTAGGAGTTTGATTCATGGACCTATAGGAGATGTTCATGGAGGTATTCTGTAACCTCTCCCTAATACTTACAGTAAAACTTGATTACAAATGCAAAAAGAGAAATAATCCTGTATTTGAGATCAGCTGAACCTAGCAGAAGACCCTGGCCTACCACGGCCACTCAGAGACAGTCATTCCCATGACCTGACTGCTCAGTTGTTCCACACACTTTTTCAAACACTATTTCACCTTTCCCTATACCATCTTGAGGTACAAGTTATAAATGAATTACAAACAAGGAAAAACTATAAAATACCATCCTGTATGCATCGCTATTAAAAATTTAAAGTGGCGGGGAGGCACCCATTTTTTTCTTCTTGCATTCTGTAAAAGTAAAGTAGAGCTGGTGAGGAAAAACCTTGCTGTTCAGATTAAACAACCTTGAAACCACAACCACAAAGCTAAGAAACAAGTCTTCCTTGAGAGGTGTCTCAACAGATGGAGTCACTAAGACCTGTTTCTACCTCTGAAGTCACAACAGCTGTGACCAGCTCTGCCCTTACATCGTTTGGTAAGGTCCTCAATCCATAGTTGTCGTTGGCGATGCCGTTTCTCCAAAGCGTCAATCATGTTTGGAAAGGTCTCCTCATCATTGATATCCAAAAGCTTGCATGGGGGCAGAGGTGGGAAGCTCTGTAGAATCACTTCAGTCAAAGGTTCTGAATTGAATTGAAAAATTACGAAAGAACTTAGGTAAGTCTGCTGCTATGAGCAGAGCCCATGAACTAGTAACCACAGAATTTTATATTATCATCATCATCATTATTTTTGCTTTAGCTTACTCAGTGCTACAGTTACAGGTATGCTTCACTATGCCCTGCTTTAGGTATGGAATTTTTCAAAAATTAGAAAAAA